TTTCTGTAGCCGCTGTAAAAAAAAGTATTAAAAAGAGAATAAAAAATATTAAATTGGGGCTCCCATAAAAGAGACTGACTTCTTTTGCTGTTTTTATAGGTAATGGAACGAAACCCTTTTGTCACATATCGAATAGCCTAAGTGGGAACATATCGTAGAGTGGAAAAGATAACATATTTCAGAGTTGACTAATTTATCTGTGAGGTATTACATTTATAAATGTATGCTTTACTGCGTGAGTGTATTCTTTAGTGCGATGCCACTATTGTTCTCTGGTCGGTAACGGATGCATTACTGAAATATATGTGACATTGAAAATGTATTGTAGTTAAACTTCTCTACTCGTGTAAAGCCGGGGCTTAATTTTTGTACAAATTCTCCATGGATAATTAAATATCAAACGCCCAAATTCTCCTCATGAAAAAGATTAATTATCTATGTAGCATTTGTACAAACACCAAACAAAAGGTAAAGTAAAATATAAAGATATTCCGCGCGTGGGTACTTACGTAATTTACGAAGTAGCAAATTAGCCGTCCGGGGAGAAAGATTGCCATTTTTTAGAGGTCCTTTGTTCGCGTAATATAAATTAAAGGACATTTCGTTAAAATAATTCTGGAGCATTTTAATGTGGCGTTTCCAGCCAAGTCGCGCATACCGTCGCTTCGTTAATTGTTTGCGGCCACGAAGTAATCTAATTGTGGGACAAATGGGACAAAGCTTAATTCGCTGAACCATATCGCGATCCGTTGTCCTTTCAAATGTTAATGGCCACACATTGCTTTATAGTAACAGTGTTAGTCGTTCTCATTAAAGCTCCTTTTTTATTTTTTTTTTTGTGAAAAGTCACCAAGTGAGCAGACGGTTCACCTGATGTTAAGTGAATACCGACGCCCATGGACATCTGCTACACCCGAGGGTTCCAGATACGATGACAACCTTTTGAAAATTGGGCTCCGGCCATCTCGCTCACCAGACGAAACGCGAAAGTTATATATTTCCACTTTACGCCGGTCTTCTGTGAGGTCGTGGTACTTACCCGGACGAGCCTGCCCATTCGTGAAACAGCCGAGGCTGCTGCGTGGCCCTACCACCGTGAAAACGATAGTCGTTCTCATTAAAGCTCCTGTAAATTTAGAGTAAAATTCTTAAGGCACCTGAGTGTTGTTGAAATCTAATAGGAAATTTTTTATAAACAAAACTCAATTGTCTCCCTTTTAATTTATTCTTAATCCCTTTATTAGTCGTAAACCATTTCCATTCGATGGATTGTTATAAATCCACAGAACTTCAATGCCTATAAAATTTTATTTGTTTATTTTACTATTTTATTTAAGGCATAAGCCATACCTATTATAAGGTTTTCAAACAACACTTCATATTTACCACGTAAAATAATCGTTAAACGAAGTTAAATTTATCAAAGCATAAATTATTGTTATAACGGAAATAATAACTGAAAGATAGCACCAAGCTTATCGCGTCTTTTATGAAGTTGTTTATAAAGTGCTTTCCTCTCGTCCATGTGAAGTTATTTTATGTGTTATAACAGATTTAACGTGTTGAATATAAAGATCGGATAAAACAGTGTCATATAAAGCCATTACAATTTAATAGGACTCACTTAGCGCTGAATGCCATAAAGACACATTTACGTTTTAATGGTTTGCGTAGATGAGATTTGACACGAACTTGAGCAATCCATTACATATTCCGTAGCAATTCAGAAAGGTGCAGAAGGTCGCTTACATTAGACACGAAACGCAAACGTCAGGACTAATTTTGCCCTTTGCCTGTCTGAATTCTTTGACTGAAGCAAATATTTACATCAAGTTAGTGTTTATGAATGCTAAAAGAAGCATATAAAGATATTATTAAACGAATAAATATCACAAATTCTCAAAAGAATTTTACATTATCTATATAAATATAAATCATTTATTAATTAATCATAGACGTCTACCGACAATCGAGAGGTCTGCCGTTGTATGCACATCACGGAAAAACTTCTGAATAAATTTTTAAATGAAACTATTTTACGGATTTTATCGCGTTTAATTAGATTTTTACAGTTAAAAGACATAAAACCCCCTAATAATCTAACTAAAGAGTATGTAGTAATCGCATTAATACAAGACAACATCACGTTTATGTAATGGTTCGAGTCTTGATGTAATGGTTCGCAGGGATAAGAGTGGCAATCAGCCGTTTAGCTTAGTGTTCAAAGTGTCATGGCGCGAATCCGGGTGAACCCGGAAGACTTGGGTTCGATTCTCGCAGTGACGAAAATCAAAAATCAAATCATCATCAATCAATCAAAATTTTAATACTTCATCTTAAATGCAGAGATTAGCACGACAAAAATTGTAAAGGCAAGTATAGTATGGCAATTAACGATCTTAATAATTAAATTGCTTCAATAAAAGGCAATATATTTAACCAGTTTAATTGTTAGCAACGGGAAAGACCTACGAAAGATTTGCCGTCCTATCTAGTACGCTACGACAAAGGGAATGCGATCTATATTTCCTTAAAACCATGATTGCTGCTCATTTGTAGGTGTCCAAATAAATGGGACCATGATTTGGAGCCTTTGTCTCTTCGGTTTAAATTATCAAATCCGTTTTTTTTAATTGTTCCTAGGTAATAGCACAGTCAAAAGAAGCCTGTACATCTGGAATAATGTAGCTTTGGAATGGTCAAAAAATCAGAAGTATGTCATTAATATCATCCAACTCGTACGAACAATTTTTCAATTCAAAAATATACGTATTTTTAAGTCTTAACTGTGAAAGATCATTAAACGCTAAAGCTTTTACGGTGGTAGGGCCACGTAGCAGCCTCGACTGTTGTACGAATGGGCAGGCTCGTCCGGGTAAGTACCACGACCTCACAGAAGACCGGCGTCAAGTGGAAGTATAATACTTTCGCGTTTCGTCTGATGAGTGCGGTAGCCGTAGCCCAATTTTCAGTTACCATAAACCTACAGTTTCAATGATAAAAATTCCTGAATAACTTACATGTATTGTAAGATGATAAAAATATTTTAAACGATATTAACTTCTCATTTATTCAATAAAAGAAAAAAAAAATCTTGTCGGTCACCACGCTCAAAAAGTGTAATTTGAACTAATATCAAAGAAAAAACTGGAATTAATATGAAAGAAAAAAATATACTGCGTAAATAAAGAATAAATAAATAAGTATAATTGCATAAGTTGATAAAAAATGCTATGCAATAGCTTTACCGGGGCAGTCCCCGAGTGTGCACAGTTAGTTTTTTTATTACTAAATTGTTTTCTTGTTGTTTTTAATAATATAAAAATATATTATATTGTTGAAACCATATTATTAGAATAAAAATTGAACAACAATTTCAATAAAGCGCCTGAGCATTTTAGTGTAGCAATAAGTACGAATCGAGGTTGCTAAGTTAAGCAATACGTAGGCGTTATCTGAACCCGTTAGACGAGGCGTGCGTGAGACACCGAATTGCTATCATCACGTATATCAGGGCTATAGATTCAATGAAACTTTCATTGTTCCCAAAAATTTGTACCAAATGATCCATATTAATGGTTTAATCGTTAAATAAAGGTTTTGCTTATTAAAACTAAACCTTAATTTAATGATTTAACAACAGCAGTGAAATATTAAAACTTCTTAATTATTGCCTTCAATAAATGTAGCGATAAATATTTTTATAAAGAAATTTATTTAATACGCTTTCATGTCATAAAGCTGGTCTGTGGAGCAGAATAAAAAGTAATGCATTTGTGAACAGTAACGACCGTTTATCACAATTTACAGTAAGAAACATGCAATGATAAGGTTTATTTTTACCATCTCAGATGAATACATACAAAAAATATTTCGATTATATAATAAATACATAAAATGCGTCCCGTTGTACAGTTAATTAGGTAGTAGATAAATATAAAAGCAAGTGACATTGTAAATGTCCACAGTAGCTTCATGTCTAAATCAGCAAACATCCAACGTGGATCATTAATCAGATCATTTAATGGCGTTGTGTCCCAGTATAACGTTAATTCAGACGAACAATCTAATTAGTGAGTGATGTATTGTTACGCATATATAAATTAATTATCAATAGACTATCGCTGTGTTGCCTTATCACGTGCTCAGCGGTTAAGGAAAACGGAGTGAGCACATATTATTAATATTTTCCCTGAAAAGCATGTGAGGAAATGTAGATATTTTCGAAATAATTGCAAAAAAGTGAAGTCTGCCATTCCCCAGTGGGGTTGCTTGGTGGAATATGCCCTAATGTCCTTTGAACAGAGGATTTTTTTGCCCAGCAGTAACTTCAGTATAGATTTAGTCGGTAGAATTCGCCACGATGTTCGATTCGAAGACATGTTTGAACGTATAATTGTCAAGTGTTTTATATTAACAAGATTAGATATTGTTTATAGTACAACATACGAGAGAAACACACAAAGATAAGGGCTCTAAATACACCAACGTTAATAAATAGTTATGTTAGCTCTTAGAGTGGATAATCCTATTGGATTTTTATATTGAGAGTAACTATTTTCTTACTTTTCTTTCTTGAAGACGTTATCCCTTATTTTGTTTAAGTTAATCCTGTAACCCAGATCTTGGAATCGAATCAGCAACCATTTACAAATCAAATCATCTTTATACTTATACATAATACTATTGATTTCTTGTGTTTACGCGAATATTATACACGGCCAAATAACAGAATTTTACTGATTTTATCGCTTTTTATCTTTATTTTAAATTAATAAATGGAAAGGGTTTAATAAATGAAAACGGGAATTGAAAATGAAAATACAAAGCGATGAAGTCCTTAAAATTTTGTCATTTAACTAAGCATATTATCGCTTACAAACCTCGCCAGTTGTCACAAATTTTTGTAAAAATCCTTTTACTGCTCTTTTCCTTCTTGATATATTGTAGTTAATGCAACTCACCGACTACATTTAAACTGTGCAGTTAACAAGGAATTAAGTCGGTTTATTATCGCATTCAATCTCCCAGTTTACTTCCGCCGCTCCCGTGCCCTCCGGGAGAGCGGGCTTCGGAAATGATTCCATTTTGCTCCATAGCGATAACTCGATTCGCCCCATTTGCGAGTGGCCCGTCTCAGCCAAATCGCATAGATTCAACTTGAACGATGAAGCAATAGTCTTTTCGTAGCTTTTTTGCCAATCGAAGATCTGCTTCAACCTCTTTGATAGCTAGATTTTTTAATTGTGGTTTTAAGCGTCTTTTTTTCTCGACGGGAGCTATAATTCTATGACGAGACATCTGACCAAGTTAGTCGAGAGGGCTCTTAAAAATTTCAGCAAATTAAGTTAAAAGAAACTGGGGAAAGTGCTTATGAATGTAAGATTTTCGTTCCGTTAAATTACTTAAGACTTGCTTCCTTACTCGTCTCGGTGCCGGCGCTGGTAAATAATTCTCAAGTTATATAACAGTTTAATGAATATAATTATTTAGCTCATATACATATATAGATATCAGTTTTATGTCAGATGTTTAACATTTTCTTTTTTTTATTATGGACCGTTATAATGAGGAATATCAATGTTTGATTGATAGAGGAGACAGACATTCCTAACAAAAGAGTTACGTTTGTTGAGTAAAATAAAGTATAAAAGATTTTGTATCGCTCATTAATATAAATTATATTTATGCTCATTGTTGAAAATTACTTCACAATCAAACAAGCATTCGAAGTGATTTCCCATTACGAATAAATTGAAAACGGAGGAGGTTCTCAATTCGACTGTATTTATTTATTTTTTTTTTTTTTTATGTTTGTTATCTCAGTGATCTCAGAACTTTCGACTGAGTTAACCAATTTTGATGGTTCTTCTTTTAATAATTAATTAATTTCATTGGTATTGGATGGCTCCGGAGATACGTAGGGAACTCCTGAAAATCAATTATAAAATTAATGTGCAGAGATAAAGACAATATAAGATACTAGCTGCTGCCCGCGAAAGCGTAACATTCAGACAGACAGATATACATAAAATATGAATATAAATTATAGCCTATGTCTTATTCTGATGCATAGGCTATGTTATTATAAAGTTTCATTAAAATCCATTCAGTAGTATTTGCGTGAAAGAGTAACAAACATCCATCCATACATACAAACTTTCGCGTTTATTAACTTATTATATTAGTAAGGATTTGAAGTCCGTTTTGTTTTTCATTAATAAAAAAAAATGCCTTGTTATTAATATTACATAGATTATGTTAATAGGCTATTTTGATTACCTACCTACCGGTATTTCAGACAACCATTAACTCAGTTTGTACGTACGCTCCTGCCAGTTCATTAATAAAACAAAATGATATCCAGCCGTGGGGAAAATTAAGATATCCATTTATCATAAAAATATATTTATTAAAAACGGCAATCGTATTACAACTTGAAACAATTTCGCAACAAATTAAGCGAGATTGTTGAGACGGAATCATTTGAATTGGAGATAAATTCGAGGCCGTAATATAGAGTTTCCGGACTCGACTTAAATATGGAACAACCAATCTTTGCACAGCGAACGCGCTGAGTAATGGAATTTTCAAGTATTCGGTTTCTGTGCTTCTACTTCGGCAAAGGTATATTTACTCATTTGTAAAGAAATGTTGTTACCAATTTCTTTTTAATCTTTATATATACTCGTATATTTCTTCTGTGCGTGTGTATGTCACTGAAGTCCTAGACCGATTTTAATGAAATATTTTGTGTGTCGGATCGATTCGAGATTTATAAATTGTTGTCGGGTTTGAAAACCTAGGTGGACCGACGACATTATAAGAGTCGCGGGCAACCGGTGGATGCAAATGACAAAGTGCCGTTTTGCCATTTACAAATAAAATCATCTTTATACCTCGACAGAATATAATACTATGGATTTCTTGTTTTTACGCGAATATTATACACGTCCAAATGATAGAATTTTACTGATTTTATCGCGTTTTATTTTTATTACAGCGGGAAAGGGTGCACAACTTCGATTCCATTTTGCTCAATAGTGTTAACTCGATTCGCCCCATCTGTGCCGTTCGTAGTGGCTTTCTATTCACGTTCGGGGTGGATGAGAAGAGTCCTCTCGGGACGCGGCTGTTTCGGCAGGCATCAGTTCTAGGAGAGGACCTACAGCGGAATACCATCACTGCCGTGTGACGAGGAGACGACCCAACGTGGAGGAGTGCCCAGTCTGGACGGACAGTACGACCCCCTGGGTCGTAACCTCCCGCTGCCTGCTGTGGTTCACGTTATGGTGGACAGCAAGGGGGCGTGGGGTGCTCACGCGTATTTTAGGACGTTATCACCCGGAAAGCTGGAGGTAGGGAACTGCCACCCTGAATACCGCTGAGGACCAGGGTCTATGAGGCAGGCCTACTTGAAAAAAACTCCTCCCCCCCTAATAGTGAACCGACCGGTAGGCACAGGTACAGCACCATATAGCCTTCCAGGTCTCTTATTAGTCGCACCGGGATGGTTGAAAGTTTTGTCTTCCTGTTCCCGATCCCGTCCACGGCCGTCGCATAGAGACATGTGCAACGTGGATTTTTTTTGGAATCGTTCTAACGTAAGAGCAGTCAATGAATCTCTTCGTATATGTTCTGTATTTTTTTTATGTTATTTCGTGTAGAAGTCTTAGGATTGTATTAATTTTTTGGAAATCGTCTTTTTTTTTAGCTATGTGGGGAACTCCCTCCACACAGCCAAAAAAATAGAAGAATTAGAAAAATTGTTATTTTCGGTACTTTGCTCGCTCAAAGGTATTCAGCGATAGCTATTCAACGAAGAAATGCAACTAATGTTCTAGGCACGATGCTTTTATTGCTAGGTTCTATAGATGAAGCGTTATTTAGTTAGTATTTGTCATTCTTCAAAATAGTTTCTATAGTTAGTAAAAATTTTATTCACACAAAAATTCAATGAAAATTATAAAAACACTAAAAATACGGCAATATCGGCAGTACAGGATTCGAACTTGTGTCTTTCTAGTAAAGTTCCCAGAGGTTTTACTCACATTTTAAGAATCATTCTGAGTGCAGAGTACTAAAAATAAATATTTATCATAAAATAAATATTATTAAGTTATGTTTAACAGAAAGGTATTTCTCCCACATCTGGCAGTATACTTGACAGTAAAAAAAGGTGGCAAATAAAGGAAGTCTCTAATATTAATAATATTAACGAAATATACAAAAAATAATGGTAAGAAAACTGTATTGAGGAATTTACTGTTTCAATAAAAATCAGTTAAAGTTCTAATCTTCACTCTTATGACATTTACATGAGCAAATGTGTTGACAAAAATTCTTATAACTGCACAACATTTTCCGAGTTAACCGAAACTTATAATCATCAAATGCCAAGACTCGTCTCGTCTTGGCAGAAATTATTCACATAAAGACATTTAGCACTACAAAAGGAAGGAATGTTTAATCCGAGAGCAAACTTCCCATTGCATTAAGTTTAATTCACGTACGGATTCCAAGAACAATTTCAATCAACAGCATTTCCAATTTTCTCTCTCTAAATATTTCTGGAAAAGTTTAATCGGATTCTGTGGTTACGGATTTGTGGGTTCACAACCGTCTGTGGAGTGTTTGAAATTGGTTTTTTTATGTTGTTCGTTATTTTTAACAAAATACTTTGTTGCCATGCCTAGAATGACAATTTCAATCAAGTTTATTTATTATTTAATCAAGTAACAGAGAAAAGAGACATCGTCTAACGATCATGATAAAAATTGACGTCTCCGTATTATGCGAAGACACGTTATTTTCTCATCTCTTAACTTCTACTTTCTTCTTCTTTAACCGACTTCAAAATCAGAGGAGGTTCTGTTGTATGATTTTTATTTAAAATTATAACTTGTTGTTGTAAGTCGAACGTGTTTCTCAGAAAGTATTTGAGACTGCGTGATCGTGAGGATATTTTACTAGATTTTATCTTCGATTGCTTTATTACAAAAGTTCCTTGGAGACGAAAGAAACGAAAGATGTCGAGGTAAACTCGGTCGTAACGAAGTTCCTTTTGCCTATGGAATAATAGATCAAATAATACATTTAATACATTACATTCATCTCATTCAAATAATTCATTACATTCATAATGAAATTAAATAACACCAAATGATAATAACTTAATTTATTCATTAAAAAGGAATGGTAACAGACCTGCAATTAACAATTAACTAAAAACCCCATGTTGTGCAGTCAGCCAGCTCGTGTTAGAAAGAGAGAGAGGGAGCTTTTTTGACGACCCGATTGGTATAGTGGGTAGTGTACCTGCCTAATGCGCCAGAGGGTTTAGGTTCGATCCCCAGTACTAGAAAGATATTGTGTGATGAACATAGTGTTTTTCTAGTGTCACAAAAGAAGAGTATGTTTATCAGTGATAGTACCCATAGCACAAGCGTTGAACCAGCGTTGCTTAGTTTGGGACTAGAGAACGTTGTGCAAAAATGTGTCCTAAAATATTTATTTATTTTATATTTATTTATTTGTCTGGTATCACCTTACGCGACGACTCCTACCATCTCAAGCCGTCAGCAAAGCAGTATTATGGAACTTCGTCACAATGAGATAAGTACTTTAAGTGTTTTATGCTATCGCCTCGTCTGTGCTCGGGTTATTATTATTATTATTATTTTTTTTTTTATGCGAAAAGTTGCCAAACGAGCAGACGGGTCACCTGATGTTAAGCGAATACCGCCGCCCATGGACATCTGCTACACCCGAGGGTTACAGATGCGTTGACAACCTTTTGAAAATTGGGCTCCGAATGTTAAAACGATATTCAACTCTAAACAACAACTACAATCTAATTTCACACCGTGGAGACCTAATTATTTAGTTTTAGGAGTAGTTAAATTTGGTTTATTTGTGAAACTCGGGTAGTTTTACTGTGGTAGGGCCACACGACAGTCTGCGCTGTTGCACGAATGACCAGATCCATCCGGGTAAGTACCACGACCTCGGCATGAAGTGGAAGGGTTATAGGCCTGCGTTTCGTCTGGTGTGTGAGGTAGCCGGCACCCACTTTATTTAAAGGTTTGCTACACTACGGGTGCAAATGTCCATGGGCGGCGGTTATTTTTTATGTGATAAGTTGCCAAGCGAGCAGACGGTTCACCTGATGTTAAGTGAATACCGCCGCCCATGGACATCTGCTATACCCGAGGGCTGCAGATGCGTTGACAACCTTTTGAAAATTGAGCTCCGGCCACCTCACTCACCAGACGAAACGCGAAAGTATTCTACTTCCACTTTACGCCGGTCTTCTGTGAGGTCGTGGTACTTACCCGGACGAGCCTGCCCATTCGTACAACAGCCGAGGCTGCTGCGTGGCCCTACCACCGTCAAAACTTTACGTTATCACTTAACATCCGCCAGCCAGTTTTCCACTTTCTCACATTAAACCAAAACGTGGTGGGGCCACACAGCAGCTTCTTCTTCACGATTGGGTAGACTCGTCTGGAGAAGTACCACGGGTTGTGGTAAATACTCGTGAAGAGAACGTATGTAGTAGACCGGCAACGCATTTGTCAGCCCTCGGGTGTGCAGGTTCATGGGCGGCGGTAATCACTTGCCATCGGGTGACCCTCCTGCTCGTATGCCCCCTTTTCTCCATAAAAAAAGTGAAAGTATTTTACTTTTGAGTTTCGTCTGGGGGGGCTGTGAGGTCGTGGTACTCAATAGCAAACACTATTGCGTGGCTCTACCACAGTTAAAACGTAGGTACGTATATTCAATAATGATATTTTGAACCGTTAATTGATTAGATTAAGTTGTTATGCTTTACTCGGTCTATAATTGTGCCTGTTCTACAGATGTCTTAGTGATAAATTAGGATCTTAAAATATAAAAATTATAATTTTAAATAACATGATTACCACCATACTCAGTACTCTGTCAGTAAAATGACTCGAAAAACCGTTGGCTACCTGCGTATGTCTATATTTGTCTTACTATTGTAGGAATCTTGTCGCAAAAGAACATACTAGATTAAAACATAAAAATTCTAATTTTAAATAACAAAATACATGTTTCCAGCCTATGGCAGGAAAAGAAAAACTGATAACAGCTCGGGGAGACTAAGAATACGATGTTGCTTTCAGTTCATAACGGACACGTCATATCGAGTATAACCATAAATTTAAACAGGACGAAATTTTAATAATTTAATTTAATAAACTTATCGCATGTTACTGACTGAAGTGTGCACTGGGTTTTTGTTAAAATTACTTTTAAAAACTACTTTAACTTGATTATAATTTCATTTACAACTATGGGGTTGAATATTCGCTTAGACAGTTGAGTTCTTGATATAACGTGGAAACACCATTATATGGGCCAAGTTGCCACACCTGGCGCGAGTACACTGCGCTTGGTTGGCGCTTTTAGTAATAGGAGATCGTTGTATGTGGTTTCGCTTGCGGGAGCTATTACTTAAGCTTTCACCTTCAGAGTGAGAATGAAACTATACATTATAGAGTCTACACGTCCCTGGCTCAGAGTGAGCAGCTATGCATCTGTTATTATTTTTTGATATCGGAAGCATTAAAACTTTATTAATTATGTGCTTAAAAAGTACCTACGGAACCTTTTCGAAAGTCAACTCTTATATAAACTTAGAATTATCATCATTTTACAAACCATAATATATATAATATAATAAACTATAAAAATAAAATAACTATAGTTTCACCCAATTCAATTAGCGTTTTATCGCACATATCATCAATGCGGTTCTTTGAGTTCATATAACTATTTTATTTATGAACCGATTTAAATAAAACTATCACTAAATATTAAGTGAAGCTTACTACAATGCATAAGTGTAACTTGCATCAAAATCAGTTACGCCGTTTCAAAGTCAAAGACAAACAGAAAAAAAAACTGTCGTTGTTTTGGGTTCTATTGCGTTGAAAAAGTTTTTCAGTTTTCAGTTACATTTTTATTATAATATGTATACATATAGATATAGATTTGTAGATCCACTACCGTAATGCTATTGTTACACATACGAGGTGCAGAAAAGTAATATTTTTATAAAGCATTTTGGTAAAAAGAATATTGCAACACCGTATTTTTTGTTTGAATGCCGCTAAATTATATATTGCCACCAAAATAATTGTATTCGCCATCATAATTATAACAAGCCATTAATTATATTGCCTTGCCGTGTAGCAAACAAACGGCTGCTAAGAGAATTTTAATCCGGAGGTAATTTTACTAAGTAGCATGTTTCTTAAAACGAAACCTAAGATCACTCTGATCTTGGCACCATTTCGGAAAAAAATATTTTGTAAAAAAAAAACAAAGTTACTTTCAAAATTCATACCTCCTTAGGGTCCTAGGCTTCTTTCTACAAAATATACAATTTTTAAAATTAGTAAACGTTTTCTTGAGTTACTTTTCTTCTTTTTTTATGTGAAAAGTTGCCAAACGAGCTGACGGTTCACCTGATGGTAAGTGAATCCCGCCGCCCATGCACATCTCCGGCTACCTCACTCACCAGACGAAACGCGGAAGTATTTGTCATACTCCACTTTACGCTGGTCTTCTGTGAGGTCGTGGTACTTACCCGGACGGGCTTGCCCATTCGTGCAACAGCCAAGGCTGCTGCGTGGTTCTACCACCGTAAAAAGTAGTTCTTTCCTTAATAGTATAAAATGTTTACTTTATGAAGCACAGTTTCAGCTTTATAACTAAATCATTTTACCGTCGTCTAATTTCATTTGGAATTTTATTATTCACCCGATCAGCTATAATTTTTATAACATCACGCTTTTTTTGTTAATCTGCTTTCGTTCCTCTACTTATAGTAAGCACAATTATTTTATAATATACTTACTATTTTTGTTATTTTTATTTTGTTACACATGGTTTTATATATGAAACATGGAACATTAAATGTCTATTCTATTCATCACAGACCTTAATGGCTTCCGAAATAAAAGCTCTGGTTCCAATGACAGAGGTCTTCAGGGTCAAGGTCATCCCGCAGTTCTCTGGACGGATGCCAGCGAATATTTTTCATGGCCACAACCGTGATATCTGATTGACAGGGCGAAAAGTTTTTCCTTCGCATTAACCCCATAACGTTATAATGTGCTTCGTAAGCTTATTTTTTATACTAGTATTCTATTTTTAAACGGTTTTATTTAGCTCGACCCGTACGGAATTTATTTGTTTATTTGGGTCAAAATTAGAAATTGAAATTTAAGCACCTTCCCGTTGTCAGATTGATCTGAAATTTAGTACACACATTTAATTTAGATGACAATACAATATTGTAGTTTTCAGTGCACAAAAAAAAAACATAAAATAAAACCGTTTAACTTAAAAGTTTTTAAACGTTTTTATATACATTATGGTTCAATGGGGTTTAAGAACCAATTTACCCGAAATGTTTTTAAGGAACCTCTAAGCGCCATGAATCCATCCAAAATTAAGATGTTCTTTCAGGTCTCAATATTGCATATCATTTCCAGTAATTGCAGTTTCTGTAGTCGTGATATAATTAATAATACAATCCAAAGCCGTGATAGCTCATTGTCCACGCGCTCGCTTAATTCAACATACTCGAGCAACCCGAGTTTGATCCTCGGTGCCGGTACCGATGTGATTGTAAATTTTTAAGTGCTGACTTATCATGTGATCAGCGGTGAAGGAAAACACCGTGAGGAAACCTGCATTTTTTCGAAATAATAACAATAAGAAATATTTAGAACATTATGTGAAATCCTTCAATCACCAGCGTGTCGCTTGTCAGACTGTGTACAGAAAAGGGCTTTGCCATGTATGACGCTACTTCACTTTACAATCCAAAGACTTCTCACTAATTGTCACCCCCTCCATAGAAGAGTGAATAATGAAATGTGCAAAGAAATTAATTAACTTAAGGTCAAAAGATAATTCAAGGGGACATTTAATCTGAGAACGATTAAACACGCCCGCCCCGTGATGAGCAGTTTTGCCGCCACTGTCGACCCTCGTCACTTATTTCATGCGAGGAGATTGAGGGCGAACGACGAATGGTTGAAGCGGCGCTCTATGTTTTTTTATCGTACAGAAAGTATTTTTTTCACTCTTAACGACGGTTAATGTCAAAGCGGACTCTTCGTACATTTAAAGCTTATTTGAAATGAGCTTTCGCCGCTGCAATTTGAATTGCGGTGGAAACGTACTGGCGATGTATTGTGACAGGTTCTACGCACAATATAATGGCCACTAAGTACAAATTGGCTGTAAACAGCCAATGTAGATTTTATTTAGATGCTAATTTTAGCCAGTGCTTTTTCTAAAACATGTATAAAGTTCTCTTTTCACGGATACAGCTCAAATCTTATACATTTCGAGCAATAAAGACAAGGAAACAAGGAAAACAAACTAGGTTATAAACACGTATACTTGACTATATCCTTTTAAAACAATAATAATTTATTGAAATAATTTATACCGTGATTGTATATACCAATAATACAATGATAATTATGCTAAAAGGCACATGGCGTAGGTCTCATAGATTATAAATATCCTTGACACAATAATTGTGTTTCCACTCATTCAATAATAGAATGAAACCAAAAGGTTGGTCTAATCTGAACAAATTTCTAATCAGTAGACCACCGTCATTCCCAATAATTGAAAACTTATCTGACGTCCTCAAAGGATTCTCTTCAGGAACATAATACACCATCAAATGAGGGCTTAATTGTTGCTAAACTGTCGTAACTATCAATAGATAAAAAATTTATTATCATGCAGAAGATCGGAAGAAAACTAGGCGTTAGGTCTAGAGAGTATGTAAAAGATACGTTATAAAATAACTCACCAGCTTGACCTCTTTGTGACTTCGCCCTCCTACCAACTGCTGGGGAGACCAGGCTCAAAGCTCTGTCTGCCCTCGCCGGTAGCTGCAGCGTCAAGGTTTGACTGGGTTCGGAGTGACGAGCGCAAATCGCCGCCTCTACGACCGAGTCGATGCTCGCCGATCTTGGCAGCTGGCCGGCCGAGTCGCGTCTGTGAATTATTTAATGTCATACAAAAAGGCACGCTTTGTATATCTGGGAGTATTACACCTGTAGTCTCGGGCTCATTGTATAGAGCCAAAGTATCCCTTGCCTGTCGTAAAAGGTCTAAAAGGGGATACGGATTGGTAGCAGCACGAAGTGGTCTCGAGCTGCTGCAAGATGGTGAGGGAATCGGGGAAGGTTTATCCTTCTCCGAGACGTGCTAACGTGCAGTACTGAGGGACACCGGTGATTTTCATAGAAGATCCTGGAGTCCCCTCAAACGTACAGAAGGTGGCCACCGAGGGGCTTTTAGTGGGTAAGAACCACACATAAACCTGTCATGCAAGGTGACAATCTTTCGAAGTTCCCCGGATACAAAAAAAAATAAAATGGGGCCTGGCCTAATGTTGAGTGAACTGTCGCCTCACTCACCAGATGAACAGTTGAAGTTTTTGTGTGGTCCTACTATATTAAAAATTCAATGGACACCGCTTTAGGGACTACAATACGTTTGGGACTAAAATAAGCTTGGTGAGACGTGAGCAGTCTACCTCATTAGAGAGAGATAGGGTCATAATACAAATTGTCTACTGGCGCTACAATAATTGGACATAAAAGAAGTACGTTACGCAAACAAATAGTTAATTTTTAATAAATAGGTATCCTCACCATAAAATTTTTGGGGTACAAAGTAAAAATTGCGCTAATCCCTCCAAAAAATATCTCGTTAAGAGCGCAACTTATACTAACATTTTAGAAGCTTTGTTTTATGTTATCTTGGGCTAGTTAATACCTACATTTTGCTTTTATTTACTTACTATATTTACAATTAATGCGAAACATTGTCATTAAGCCAAAAGTCTTCTTAATTATAACAATTATAATTTATAACTGTGTTTAATATGTCGAAAATTTATATAGTCTATTTGATATTATTTTATAAAACTTTATGTTTTTATCAGTTAGTTCTAGCTCAGTTTTCCCCTGGGAGACGGGCGGCCCACCGTGACGCCGCTCGTTTGCTGTTTACCAACCTATTTGCATTTTAATGGAACTAAAAACTTCTTGTATAATAGTCTCGTTCGCGCACAGTACGGTCTGAAGAGAAAGTCGATGGCGGAAGTCAGCGTGCAAGAGGACTTACAGCGGATTGAGATAGGGAAAAGCTGATGCGTGAGAAATTTTATTTTCTTTTCGCATATTATCCTTACCAGTCACCGAATAACAAAATAATAAATAACGTATAAAATGAAACATAACCAATTTGTTAAAAAAATAGTACTATTGCTAATAATGTTTTTTTATAGTTTGTTTCAAAAATACTATTTTTATAACCTGCCATGTCTTAACATTTTTAATGCGATCATCGTCTTTTTTTTGTTTCAAAGGAACTTTCGGTAAGAAGGTGGTGAAGGAGGTGAAAAGAAAAGAGGAAAATCTATGAAGTGGCGTGGCTAATTTAAACTATACTCGTATGTACACACGTATTGTTTAATCGTTATCTAATATATAAAATTCTCGTGTCACGGGGTTCGAACTTGAACTCCTCCGAAACGGCTCGACCGATTTTTACCAAATTTTATATGCGTATTCAGTAGGTCTGAGAATCGGCCAACATCTATTTTTCATCCCCCTAAATGTTAAGGGTAGTCCACCCCAAATTTTTTTTTTTTTTAGGCAAAATTTTTTGTTTTTATTTTTTTATGACACAGCATACAAAAATACATACAACCCTAAATTTTCACCCCTCTACGCAGACGTAGTCGCGGGCAGCAGCTAGTTTACTTATAATATATTATGTATGATATAAAAAATTGAAGGTTGGTTTGTTTGTTTCTTTAAATGCGCTAATCTGTGGAACTAGCAGTCGGATTTGAAAAAACCTTTTCTACAGCTTTACTTGTGTTGGTTTCTAAATGTCGACAATATTTTATTTGTAGCATAACAGGTACAGTTGGCACATAAACTTAATTAAACTATTTCTCGTGCATCAGTACCAGTATTTGAATTCAGGTTGCTCTAGTAGGAGCAAAAAGGAATGTTTTAAATGTGTCGTACACAGTTCCTGAAAGCAATTATTAAATGTTTTAGACCATCGTTTGCAACCTTCGTTCTTTGTTAAGTGAAGAGCGTTGTGAGGGTAAAATTTCCAATAAAATAATGTCCAACTTCTCGACGCACAAACCAGGCTTTTATAATGAGATGTCAAAAGCAAGAATCTCTTTAAATTACATTAATTTAAAACCATAAAGGGTATGTTTCGAGGATTGTTTCTAGAAAATTATTCGCACAATTCTCAAATGCGAAGAGGATATTTAAATAAATTTATGCCATTCCTTCTATCCGTAATAAAGATAAAACGGATATTGTTTAAAGAAGTTAATTTTAAACATAGCGTTGATGAAATTAATTATTCTGCGTAGGTACGATGAATTTCTATTCTATAATTTTGCTTAAAAGGAAGAACAAGGGAATCAATAGAAGAAAAGTGATCAGAACCGTTAAATTGCCTTAAAGGATGCATCATATTTTAGAACTATAACAAAAAAAAAAACAAATCAGTTAAACAGTAACCAAAACTAAATAATTGAGAAGTTGATGGTAGCCTCGGATAGTGACTTTATGATGTCAAATATCATATCAGCCTGTCTAATTTCCTATAGAGAGAAGATGCTGTAAAGTATTCGAGATGATTTTTTTTATGCGAGAAAGAGGCAAACGAGCTAGTAGCCGACCTTCCCATTCTTGAAACACCACAGACTGCTGTGGCACTAATATAAAATTAACTGCAATAAAATACTAAGTACATTTTTGATTGAGTGAAAAATTCGCGTGAAAAAAACATCGTGTATTTTGCGTCTCAAAAAATTACGGGTTGCTTTTCCCTAAGAGGATCATCCTTACGAAAACTTAACCAAAGGCTAAGACGATATATGGTTTCCCATAATTTGGGACTTTAATAGAAACACTAGTCCGTATTTTTATTAACAAACAACAAAACAGACTTCAAATATCTCGCTCTGTATTCATTTTATAATTGATTTTCAGGAGTTCTCTAACTATCTCCGGAGCCCAAGAACCAATACTGACGAAATTAATATGGGACCACATGATAAGCACCAGCTTTCAAATAAAAAAAAAGAATAATCAAAATCGGTACACTCACTCGAAAATGCTGAGGTAGCAAACATTAAAATAACATACAGTCGAATTGAGAATTTTTTGAAGTGTTTGTTGAAAAAGACAAAAGTCCAGTGAAGTTAAATGATTGTTGTAACTTTAGCTTTACAACGATATCATAGCAAATGAGTTTTTAAAAGTGTTCATTCATTTCATTTTGACGACGTGAAAGAAAAGCGCGATAATTTCACTCGGAGTCTCGGCTTAGAGAGTCTGGCACTAATTGGATGAGTTCGAAATATTAATGAGCTATTAATATTTCGAATGTCTCTTCTCATTATCTTCTTATATTTTTTATCTTCGTTTGCCCGATTGCAATTCTCTCTCTCCAGTTTATCCCTGCAAATTCCAGTAAATACCTTTTCGCTACAAATTCCACGAGCTTAGCATTTTTTTTCTTGAAAATCTGGTAAAAGCTTTTTATTTGGAACTCTGATTGGATTCTTCCCTCATTTTCGTATTTCTCTTTTAACTTGAATCTATTGCTTTTGTAAATTTATTCATCCCGTGCTTATTAATTTATCTACACCTTCCTCTACTAACTTTTTTATTGAAACAATTTTGATTACAATCGTCGTCTGGAAGAAATGTAAAAGTAGAAGTGTTGCACTTCTGCGTTTCGTCTGGTGAGTGAGGTAGCCGGGGCCCACATTATTAAGAGGTGGCAACGCATCTGCAACCCTACGGGTGTTGCAAATGTCCATGGGCAGGCGGTTAGCACTTAATATCAGGAACCGCCACCTCGTTTGCCACTTTCTCACATAAAAAAAAAGAAATAGCTTTCTGATATATTTTTACACTTCTACATATTACATTCTATACATATTTTTACACTGCTTTGCGTTTTGTTTTTTGAATAAAGAATTGATTGATTGAAGATTTTATTATTTAATTTATGTTGTAATGATTCATTACTTTGTGTCAATGACGATAAAGATGATTACCGTAAGCTATCTTTTAAGTAAATTATATGGGTAATTGCAAAAATAATATACAATGCCTATATTTAACTGTACCTTTGGAATTATGAAACAATTTTTCAAAAGAGTGCAATGGTTTTGGAGCTTTCCTTGTACACACATGTTCACAAACAAACTAAATATGGGGTTTAAATGTTTGTGCGTATGTATGTCTCTTTCAATGTAACACGTGTATATACAGCGTGTCTTTACAATCGCGACAATAAATGAACACACATATAGAGGATAACTTTTTAAAATTGTATTAAACATTTACTTTATTTTAACGTCAATATTTACAGAGCTAATAAATTTTCCCAAACGAAGAATTTTAGAACACCCTTACGTGTAAAACTGTAACGTAAAGTTCATTTGTAAAGGTCACAAAGTATATGAATGGGTTTAATGAATTTAAAAGAGACAAAAGATAAATAGAAGGAGAGGCTTGTAATGCGACGCTGTGGCAACGAATGATAAAGTCTCTGAATGTATGAATCAGTCAGTTGTAGTTGTATAGGATGTTACAAATTTTGTTTCTTTTTTACTTAGTTAGTTTGTTTGAAAATTTTTTTTAATTATGGATTTTTTTTAACGCTAATATTTTTTTATGATTATTGACAAGTAGCGTTAGACGTGTGTTCATTTATTGTCGCGATGGTGTCGAATGACACCCTGTATATGATACCACACCCACACATTAAAACTTACGGTTCTTACTAACTCTTACGCTCATATATAAAATTACACTAATTTAACAATCATGCAGTGGAAGAAGCCGAAATTGTTTGAGAGAGTGATGTCTAACTATTCGATACGTTATTTATATACATTGGTCCGCGTTAATGAAATTGGAAACGGCCGTCAAAGT